AGGCGGTGGCCGACTCCCACTCCCGTGGGGGCCAGGTGGGTCACATGATGAAACAGGCGGGTTTAGTAACACAGAAGGGGCGGCGGGAAGTAAACGCGCCCTGCCTGAGTTTTAAAAGGGGACGTCGGCGTAGGAAGGGGCCGAAATCCGAGACTCTCGCCGAATTTGGCCCGCGGGCTGTGCGCGCGCGTTAGGATGTGAGGGCGGGTGGAGGTGGCGAGTCCTGAGTCCTGCGTGTCGCCGCCTCCCCGCCCTCGCTCCCCAGGACGCCGAGGCCCGGCGCAGCCGCGCGCTGCGGAGGGCGGCGGAGGAGCGGCACCGGGCGGGCCGCCTGGAGGCGGAGGCGCAGCGGCTGCGCGCCCAGCTCGAGGAGCTGCGCCGGGAGCGCGCGCGGCTGCGACGCCGGCTGCGGCGCCTGGAGCCCTGCGCGCGCCTGCTGGAACGAGCGCTGGAGCAGCGGCCCGAGGTGAGGCCCGGGCAGGAGGCCGGGGCTCGGCGCCACCGCGCGGCCTCCGGGACGGCTTAGGATGGGCGCACTACTGGAGCGCTGACTGTATGCCAAGAAGCAGCACTTATTGAGCGCTCCCTGTATGCCACTTTGTTCTTAACTTCCGCCCCTCCCCCCAAAACACACAATGGAGAGAAGCGGGTCCTGTTGTTGTCGACCCTATCTGACAGATGGGGAAACTGAGGATTCAGAAAGCTCTTTCTCGAGGTGACAGACTTAGACTAGTGTTGGCGAGGCAGGGTCCGACACTCGATAAACGTTAGTTGAACGAGTCAGGCATCAGTATGAATCACAGGTGCTGAGGCTCGGCCGGGTTGGTGGGGGAGGGGGAATAGGGGTCGTCCCAGCCCCTGTGACTCCAGTGGTCCCCACCTCCGGGCCGCGCGAAGCCCCCACCTTACAGTTGGGCTGACAGGCAGCGCCGGAGGAGCGTGGGCGGCCAGGTGTCGGGGGGGGGACTGCATGCCCATGTGAGTCCCCGCCCCCAGTTCCAGGAGGTCCCCGAGCTGGTGGCGCGCTTCGACGGGCTGGCGGACACGCGGGCGGCGCTGCGGCAGGTGGAGCGCGAGCGGCTGGCCGAGCTGGAGGCGGCGCGGGCGCGGCTGCAGCGGCTGCGGGACGCGGGGCAGGACGAGCTGCTCGCGCTGGGCCAGCGGCGAGCGCAGCTGCACGAGCGCCTGGAGGCGGCGCGGGCGCGCAAGCTGCAGTGGGTGCGGCCCGCCCGGGAGCGAGAGGGCGCAAGAGGGCGCCGCCGCCGGTGGGGAGGGGTGCCAGGGCCGCTGAGCCCAGACGGGGCATCGCTTAGCCCAGAGCGCGGCTGCACCAACGAGGGGGTCTCGGGCACCCGATCGCAGCCGGCACGCGGCTCCCGGACCCGTCTTCTCCAGAGCGCCTGGCTGCACCAGGGCGGTGGGAAGAGGCCCCAGTCCCCTTCGGGCCACGTCCGGCCTTAATCGGGAGGGGCGGGTGTTCTCTAGGAATCCAAGTGGATTCAGATCCAGAACACAGCGGCTGCGAAGACCCTGCTCCTGGGGCGCGCTAGCATGTCAGTGCTCAACCTGTACCAGTTGGTGTGCCAGCATCGGAAGCAGCCACCGGCCCTGGACGTTGAGGACACAGAGGGACAGCTGGAGCAGGCGAGGCCCCCCTTTTTATGTCATCTCCACCCCCCCCCCACTCTCTCTTCAGAAACAGGTGCTTAAAATCCCACCATTATCGACGCTTCTGGGTTAAGCACTGGTTGGCCCCTCATGGTTAGGTTAGATGGCCAGCACCTGGGAGTCCTCGGGTCATCTGGGCTGTGATCGTGATCAGCCCTGTGGCCAGAGGAAAGACACACAGCCCCTGAGTCTCAGGGTCCACTCTTGAGCAGGAAGGCCAGGGTTCATGCCCAGAGTCCCTCTTTTCTCCCGGGATCAAACAGCAGAAACAAGTGGTAAGATCTATAAGAAACTAGGTTAAGATTCTGCTAATTAACCCCTGACCCTCTGATGGACAGGCCTCAACTTCCTCAGGGAGGGTGGCGGTGGGGTGTGCAGGATTGGGCGGTGGTCTTTCTGCACAAGGGCACCACCAAATGTCACTTTGGCTCAAGTACACCTGGTTTTGTCTCCCTGTTGCCCTGTGTAGAGTGCAGTGGCATCATCAAAGCTCATGGCAGCCTCAACTCCTGGGGCTCAAGCCATCCTCTTGCCTCAGCCTCCTGAGTAGCTGGGACTATAGGCATGTGCCATGATGCCTGGCTAATTTTTCTATTTTTAGTAGAGATGGAGAGAGTCTCTTGCTCTTGTTCAGGCTGGTCTCGAACTCGTGAGCTCAAGCAACCCAGCCAGGCCTCCCAGAGTGCTAGGATTACAGGCGTGAGCCGCCAGGCCGGGCCTGTGTTTTCTACTTGGTCAGGTTTACAAGGTTGTAGAACACGTGATGTAAAATAGAAGGGAGGGGGTTTCAGACTTCAGACACTGGACCTGGACCCTGTAAGAGGTGGAGGGAAAGGAAAGACACCCCATCTTACCCATGACCCAGCCCCAGTCCTGTGCCCAATGCCTGGAATTCCAACCAAATGCCAAGAACTAGGTCACCCAAGCCTGCGTTCACTGACGCCACTGTTCTCCCCAGTGTGGCCCAGGTAACCCGTGGCAGGGACACAGGTTCCGTGGGACGAGGCAAAAGGCAGTCGCTTTTCCATCAACTCTAATCCTGCCGCCGTGTCAGTGCAGGGGTCCCCGCCCTCCGCCTCCTGCAACACTGCGGGGTCGTCAGTCAGTAACAGCTCCGTTTTCATTGTGTTTTTCCCGTCACCCCAACTTATGACAAGGGGTAACTTCATTTCCATGTCTGGTGGCAATATAAAGTTTCCCTCTCAGATGTTCACGTAAGTGACAATTGTGAGGGGAGCCCCCAGATAGTAACAGTTGTAAGTTCCCCGTATGAACGAATGCCCAGATCCAACGCCACCAGGTAAGTTAAAACTAAAAGGAGGAAGCCCTGCCTCCCCCCAAAACGGTGGATGCCATGATCCAATTAAAAGAAAAGGACATCCATGCAAACAGTACTTGCGTGATGGTGCGGGCGACAGCATCTGGAACTCCATGAGGGTCGGGGCTTTTAAAACCCTAACAGTTTGGGATCTGTCACTGCCTCTGGGCACCACCACCATAGTGCCTTTAACAGTGACTCTCAGGCGCTGGGATGTGACTTGGCTGTCGGGTCCCCCAGGTGAAGCTGTTCATCCAGGACGTCTCTGCCATGCTGGCCAGCTTTGGCCAGGCCAAGCCTGCAGCCCCAGCCTCCTAGCCCTGCCACAGGTGAGCTTGGGGGGAGGGTCTCCCCCTTTCCTGGGGGGGGGGTGTGGGCTGAGTGGCACAGCAGGCCCCTAGTCCTTACCATCACCTGCTCAGGGCAGTGGGGGGGGGCACCACCTCCTGAACGGGACCGACTAGGCCCGGGCAGTGGGGCATGAAACACGCTGGGCTTTGCCAGGTGCTTAGAACAGGGTACATTCCAGACTAGTGGTTGGTAAGTAAAAGCACTAGGACCAGCAGGAGGGGTACCTGCTCCCCTGGGCTCCCTCCATCCTGACTCTGCTGGGTGGGGGGCCCACCCGGAGACCCAGCTAGAGGTCAGGCCCTGCCCCACGCCCTCTCGGCCCCCACCCTCTGCTTGAGGCAGGGGCCCCTTGGCCCCGCCTCCTACTCCCTGTATGCTCAGAGCCTCATTTTCCTCACCTGCTGAATGGTGGCGGGACTCAGCCACCAAGTTAGTTGAGCTTTTAGTACCCGGGCCACCAGAAGTGCTCAGTGAAGATTTATTCCATTAACAACTCCATCCCTGGACCCGCGGCGCTCAGGCCGGTGCAGCCGCGACCTCTGAACCCAGAGCACGTGGAAGCAGCAGCAGCTGAGTTGCCAGCTCAGGTCTGGGCCTGCCTGGCTTTGTTGGTGAACTCCTACACACCCTTCACGACCCCGCTCCACTGTCTCTGTCCTAGGCAGCCGCTGCCCTTCTGGGGCCATCCAGCACTCCTTCTCACGGACGGACGAGGGCTCCTGGTGCCCGGCACGCAGCAGCGTGCGGGAAGCGTCTGCTGCTGTCCCCCCGATGGCCGAGCAAGGTGCTGCAGAGCTGGGTCCTGGCCCTCACATCCTCTTCCTCATCTTGCCCTTCTTGGAGGGGGCGCCCAGGCCGAAGGCGCCCTGCCGCAGCTCCTGCGCGCGGCGCCGGTTGCGGGCCGAGAGCTGCTTGAGGCCCCCGCGCTGCAGGAAGCGCAGCTTCTGCGTCCTTCGCCGCTGCTTCAGGATCTGCTGTTTGGTCTTGAGCTCTGAGCGCGCGCGGCCTGCAGGGGTGCCGGGGGTGCGGGGCTGGGACGCACCTGCCGAGAGAGTACGGGAGCTTAGGGGGCAGCTCCTAAGGTGGCCTCCACCCAGAAGCTCCTAGACTGTTCCCCTGCATCTGTATACAGTGAGAGGCTAATAAAGACCTAGGGAGTCTACTGTAGTGGTCAATAGCATGGGACCTCAGGCCAGAAGTGCTGGGGTTAAAGCCCCAGCTGTGACTTCTTAGATTCTGGGCATGTCACTCAACTGCTCTGGGCCTCAGTTTCCCCATATGTGAATTATGAATAATACACCTACCTTGTTGGTGCTCAGAACACAGGCTGGCCCTTAGTAAGAGCCTCTTACACCAATTATCCAACAAATGTATAGTGAGCACCTACTGGATGCCAGGCTCTGGGGCCCCAGCAGTGACCAAGACAGACCTCAATCTCTGCCTACATGGACTGCAGGCTCTAGAGGCCAGAGAGGGGGAGGGACTGCTCTGAGGACACACAGCAAAGGGGCAGCAGCAGAGGAAAACAGCTCTGCCCCAGCCAGACAAGCAGGTGTCAGCACAGCCTGTTCTTCCAGCCTCCCTGGTGCCACTAATCCCTGTGTCATCCTCCTCCTCCTCCATGCTCCCTGTCCCCAACAGCTGCCTCCCAGGCCAGTGACCACTGAGGCGGCCCCAAATATCTCCACTGGAGCCAGACACCTGCCAGGGACCCACCACCTCCACTGAGAACAGAGCACAGGAGAAAACGCCTGCTTCTGCCCCCTGCACGGCAGTGCTGTGTCACCCAGGTAGAAACGGGGGCTGACAAGTGAGCTGTCAGTGGGGGCAGGGACAGAAAAAGGCACCAAGAGGGAAACAGATAAAAGAGATGGAGAGAGGGACAGAGTCAGACATGGAGAGAGACGTAGAAAGTCAAGGACGGAGGGAAGGAGTGATGCTGCCCAGGAAACACGTCCACCCAGGAGAGAACTGGCAGGGGATGGCAAAAGGAAATCAGAACAGGTCCCACGCTAAAGGACAAAGACAGAGGCAGTGACCAGCCCCAGGGTGGCCCAAGAGAGCCCAGGGCACGGTCCCAAACTCCCTCTCCCCAGCAAAAGCCCCAGGTGGGTCGTGGCAGGCAGCTGGGTGACCCAGATTCAGTCACTGCCCTCGTGAGCCACCTCGGTTTCCCTGCCTGTAAATGGGTACTCTCAGTCTTCTCGCCCCCAAGGTCACATATGGCACGTCTAGGACAGAGCCTGCCCCCACCCAGCAAGTGAGAGCCCTTCCCTGACAGCAAGCTTGCAGTGGGGGGCAGTGGGAGGAGCTGCAGTGTCCCCCCTTCAGCATACATCAAAGGGTGTTAACTGGGGGGGGGGTCGCTGCACATGGGCTTTGGCAACCCACACCCCGAGGAAGATCCTTCCTCAGTCTCCCCAGCAATCACCTCCTCCTAGAGCCAGGGCTGCCCTCCCACTGCCAGCTTGTGCAACATGAACTTCCCTGCGGCCTCACTGAAACCCCCCCGCCCCGCCCCCAGTGCGTCCGCAGAGAACCCTTCCATGCTCACTTCCTGCCAGGTCAAACCATGTGCCACTGCCATTTGGCAGGCAAGAAATGGCCCATAGCAGCACTGGCGCAAGGTCCCCCCCACGCGTTCCCTAGGCTTTTGGACAACGAACTGCAATAGGTGAGCTGGTCATCTCCCACAAGTTTTCTATCCCACCCGTGAAGTGGGAGCGGTCAGGGCCATGCACCTGAGGCTCGGGCCGCCCAGTGCCTGTCAGGTGGCGCTAGTGACCATCAGAGGCCAGGCGAAGTCCACTGAGGGACAGCGGAAGGGGGAACCTGGGTGTGTGCATGTGAGAGGGACCCAGGGCTCTGACACCGTCGACTCCAACAGACCCAGGTCTAGGGCCCCACGACAGCCCCCGCACCCCTCCGCCCCGGCTGTTCTCTAACCCCACCTGCCCTGCCCACCTGCACGCCCACCCTGGCTCTCACCTTGGCCGCGGCCTCGCTTCCCGCCTCTTCGCTCTGGGCCTCTCCGATCAGATGCCCCTTCCTCCTCCGAGTCACGGTCATCAATTTTCTGTTTCTGTTTCCACTTTTGGTAGCTGGGAAGCCGGGTTAAGAAAGCTGCCCGTGGAGTCGCGAAGCCCCTGGGCTGCGAGCAGGCCCCGCCCCCTCCCGCCCAAGCGCCTCCAGGTCCCACCTACGGAGAGCTACGGAGAGCCCCTACGGAGAGCCCCGAAGCCGGGAGGGCGGGCCCCGTCCCTCTTAGTAGCGCTGTGCACGAGGAAGCCGCTCGCCCCGCCCCCTCCAGGCCCCGCCCCCAGCAGACTCGAGTCTCTTATTGGAGCTGAAGGCGCCCGCCCCGCCCCCTCCGGGCCCCGCCCCTAGCAGACTCGAGTCCCACTTATTGGAGCTGCCGAAGCCATTGGGCCCCGCTCTCCCCACCCTGCCCCTCTGGATACAGGTCACGCTTGTAGGAGCTGCTGATGTAGCGGCCGCTCTCGGTCTTGATCTTCTTCTTGTCCTCCTGTCCTGACTGTCCCACGAACCGCTTCTTCTTCCGGTCCCTGCGGGAGAGGGAGTTAGGAGGGCTGCCGAGGGGGCTTAAGTGCGTCTCGGGGCCTGTTTCCTCGCCTGACCTCACTGGGTTGCTGGAGTATTGAAGCGTGCGTCTGGCACGCAGGTGGCGCTCAATAAACGTCTGTTTCCTCTCTCTCCTCACCTTTCCCTGGCAGTCTGGGTCTCTAGAGAGACAGTGGGGTCAGGGGGTCGGCACCAGCACTGGGACCGTGGCTCAGGGCCAAGGGTCTCCGGCAGGGTTTCTGATCCCCTGCCACTTCCTGGCTCCGTGACCCTGGGATCGTCCCATCACTTCTCTGGACTCTGGGGCCCTCATGAGCACACTGGGTCAGGAGCCCTGTCTAGCAAGACCTACTGCAGAAAGGACAGGCAGGGTCAAGATCAAAGCAAGGGGCCAGGACAGGCACAGGATCACCCTGCCCAGTGTCACCCGGGAGGAGGCTCTCGGGGGCCACCCTGGCTGCTGGGCGGGCAGTGGAAGGGGCCGTGGGCTCACTTGCGCACTCACCACTTGAGCTGCTGCCGGCCCCTGGTCAGGTTCTGTGCTTCGTCCCCCATGAGGTCCAGGACGGCCCCGGCCACCTGCTGCTCGAAGGTGCCCCCATCACCACCAATGCTCAGGCTGCAGAGGGAGGGTGGGGAGACCAGACTGGGTTAATGGGGACCCAGTGGGCCCCACTTGCCCCGCCCGGAACGCAGCCGGCCACTCACCCCCGCTCACTGTCGAAGTCCTTGGGCCGGTAGGGGACGTAGAACTCCTGGTCCCGCTGCTGGGCCTCCTCCCTCCGCCTCTTGGCTCTCCTGCTGGGTCCCGGCTGCTGCCGCTTCCTGCCCAAGACCTCTACGAAGACGTCCTGGCAGACCAAGGCCCAGAGTCACGCCTGCAGGCCCTGGGGCGCCCCCAGTCTCCCCGCCCACAGCCCAGCCCCTGCCTCAACGACCAGCAGGGCAGGAGGGATGGGTGGGGCGAGGTGCCAGCCGGGGTGAGACCTGTGCTCTACAGTAGTGCCACCTCAGTCCCCCAGTTGTGTGACTGAGGCAAGGCCCTGCCCCTCAGGGCCTGGCCCGCTCTATAGTATGAGTCTTCAACTAAGCTTTTTGGCTACTAAACCCTCTGTCCCAGTGAGACACACGAGAGGGACACACTGGTGGACGCGCAGGCCCCGGACTCCCCTGCCAGGCGGATGGGACACTTCACGGTCCCCCAGCCCTGCCTCCCGGCCCCGAGGCCCAGGCCTGACACTGCCCTCATCATGGCCTGGCCGCTGCCAACCTTCCCTCCTCTGCCCTTCCGCCCGCCCCCACCTCAGGCGGGGACTGACGCTGCCACAGCTGACGCTGCCAGGCGCCTGCGGGACTCAGCACACGCTGGGCCCTGCGTCTGTGCC